TCTCCGACTCAGTTGGGAGATACTGGAATTGAACGTTCCTGCTAAGATCCTGGCCTGCAAGATCTTGAGCCACTGACCTGCAGGGATGGGGCCCCTAGTGCCCATGGGATCAGCAGACAGAGATCAGCAGCAGCGAAGAGGAGGCCGTCAGAGCCACCGACCCTCACGGGTGCCTGCCGGACCTCCTCACAGGGCTGCAGCATCTCTGTCTAGGACTGAGGGGGAACACAAGGAGGCCCCCAGTGCCGGCGCGACGAGTAATCCCTGAAGGTCACCCAGCCCTCACGGGTCAGCACACCAGCTCACAGGCAACCCCCTGCGACACCCAGGGTGCCTTGCCCACTTTCCCCTCTCACCCTCATGCCCGGTGAAGCCTTCATGCTGTTTGTAACCAGTTATGCCGATCTGCCCCTCATCAGGGAGTGCCAGGTGGGAGAACCTATCCCTGCCTCTCATTGAGTCAGGGCTGCCAGAAGTGGAGTCTCAGGGTGTTCTAGGAGGACAGGGCCCCCAGTTTAGGGCCTGGAGGCCTTGGCAGTGCCTGAGAGATGCACCACAGAGCAGCACGTGGGGATGCCAACATGCCACCACGCCTTCCCAGATGGCGGAGCCCGACTGGGACAGCCAGTTAGTAAGCCACACAGTAAGGGTCATCTCCTAAGTCCCCCCTCACCTGTGACTAGACCATCCTGTTTGTGAGGCCAAACATTTTGTGTTCTTCTATGAGACGGCCAGTCACATGCGGCCCCAAGAGAAGACAGGAGAGGAGTGGGAATAGAAGTTTATTATACTCACAGGTGTCAGACAATCACTGCAGGCCGAGGGCCATGGGGGTCACAGGAGGGAGTGCCAAGGGAGGGGACTCAAGCACACAGGGGAGAAATGGAGGGACCCCTGGGCAAGTGCCTTGAATGGGAGTCAGGGTGGGGCACACAAGAAAAGGTGCAAAGGGACTTCACTGGAGCACTTGAATGGCGCTGGGTCCCAGTCAGGAGGGCAGGAAGGAGAACGTGTGGCAGGGGCCTGCCTTCTCACACCTGGTGCACCTGGTCGCGGAGTTCACAGCCTGTCTACAGGCTGCCCCTGCTACTCGTGAGTCCCCCACATCTGTGAGCTCACCAGCTCCAGCCCTGCACTGCAAGCTCTCCCTCCCCGCCAATAGCCAAGGGACTCATTACTGGGTGTGTCAGACACGTCTGTGAGCACCGCCCCCGCCCGCCAAAGTCTGCATCCTCTGCACACACTTCACCAGCATTTCTGTGCTTTCAGGTTGTGGGTGTGGAGCTGACATGGAGGAGCCACCTTCTGAGCCGAGTGCTGATGGAGAAGGAGTGCTCAGAGCAAAGCTTCCCCAACAGCAGAAGCTGAATTCTGGAGAGAAACCCTTAAGAAAAGAAGAGGATGAGGAGGGTGGGAAGGACTCCCCAGCTGGCACTGGTCTTCACAAGCATCAGGTGGCTCATGGTGGAGGGGCGCCGCACACAAGCACCAAAAGTGCGGAGGGCCCACCCCCTGGAAAAAGGTATTACAGGTGCAGCGAATGTGGGAAAGCCTTCGGTCAGAAGTACTTACTTGTTCAGCACCAGAGACTACACACTGGAGAAAAGCCTTATGAGTGCAGCGAATGTGGGAAGTTATTTAGCCATAAATCCAACCTTTTTATCCACCAAATAGTTCACACCGGTGAGAGGCCTTATGGGTGCAGTGAATGTGGAAAATCCTTCAGCCGCAACGCAGACCTCATTCAACACCGGAGAGTTCACACTGGAGAGAAGCCTTTTACATGCAGTGAGTGTGGAAAAGCCTTCAGGCACAACTCCACTCTCGTTCAGCATCACAGAATCCACACTGGAGTAAGGCCTTACGAGTGCAACGAATGTGGGAAATTCTTTGGCTTTAACTCCAGCCTCATGAAACATCAGAGAGTTCACACCGGAGAAAGACCTTATAAGTGCAGCGAATGTGGGAAATTCTACAGCCACAAGTCAAGCCTTATTAATCACTGGCGTGTTCACACTGGAGAAAGGCCTTATGAGTGCGGTGAATGTGGGAAATTTTTTAGCCAGAGCTCTAGCCTCATGCAACATCGAAAAGTTCACACTGGAGAAAAGCCTTTTAAGTGCAATGAGTGCGGAAGGTTCTTCAGTGAGAATTCTAGCCTCGTTAAACACCAGAGGGTTCACACTGGAGCAAGACCTTATGAGTGCAGGGAGTGTGGCAAGTTTTTTCGTCACAGCTCCAGCCTTGTTAAACATCGGAGGATTCACACTGGAGAAATGCCTTATGAGTGCAGTAACTGTGGGAAATCATTTAGCCAGCGTTTCAACCTCATTCAACACCAGAAAGTTCACAGTGCAGAAAAGTCTTGAATGTAGCCAAGGTGGAGAAGCCTTTAACCGAAGGTCTGCTCTGATTCAGCAACAGAAACCTCACAACCCAAACAGGCCTTACAAATACAGGGAACGTGAAGAAAGGTTTCAGCCAATGGCTTAAGCCCATTTGGCACCAGAAAGTTTAGGCTGGAGAAAGGCCTTAAGCGTGCAGGGTATGTGCTATCTCCTTGTCAACCTAATTTAAACACAGACGCTCTCAGAGTAGCCTTTATGACTGTGCCAACAACTGAGTATCATTCATCCAAACATGGACACTGGGGCGGGATGAGAACTGGTGACATACTCCCTTCCTGAGAGGCTAGCCCTCTGCCTGGGAGCTTCCTGTGTCCTTGGCTGCCTCAGTCTGGGCTGGGGTTTTCATCTCTGAGTTTGGAGTAGGGACAGAAGGAGTGGTCTTGGTTCAGATGTGACTGGCTCTTTGCTGTACTTCCATACTACTAGATTTTCTTAACATTTATTTAATGCTTCTTCATTTGCTGTATATCCTTAGGATCATTTCCAGGGGCTTTAAAAGGTGGCTTTTTTTCAAAAAATAATTTTTCCAGTTTCACTGGGAAGCGGATCTGCAAAACTCCTCACACTGTCACGCTGGAAGTTGATCCAAGTATTTAAATTTTAAAGAACTTGCCACCTTGTGTTCTAAATGGTTATGCCACGTCACATTCTTCCTGGAGTGTACTAGATTTCCAGGTTCCTCACATCCTTGGTGACCTTTGTATGTAAGACACTGGCCATTCATTTCAGCCATTCTAGTAGCTGTGAAGTAGTATTTCATTGTGGTTTTAATTTGCATTTCCTGAATGACTTCTCCCTGTGTATCTGCCATCCATATATCTTCTTTAGTGAATTATCTGTTCGAAGTTTTTTGCCTATTATTAAAAGAACTGTCTTGCAATTTCTTAGCATATTCTGGATGCAAGTTACTCATCTGAAGTGCTTTACCAGTATTTCCCCACAGTCTGTGGCTTTGGTTTTCACTCCTTCACAGTATCTTTCCTGGAGTAGAAATTCTCAATTTTCATAAAATCCAGTTTATCCATTTACTCTTTTATTGATTGTACTTTTGGTATTGTAGTCTTTTGTTTTTTTTCTTCTTACACTACTTTATCTTTGCCTGGAAGAAAAGCCTTATCTCAGTATGGTACTGGAGTCTTAAGAGTCATCCAATCTTGTGAAATCGTACAGATTTACATACAGATAAAACCCAATATATATAGACATGTTTAGACATGAACATAACTCCTATCTCTTCTGAGATAGCCTCAAAAGCAGCCTAAGAATATTTACTGTCCATTTGTTGGCTTATGAATACAATGTTTCATAAAACAAGAATCAGAACTCCTTAGGTAGAAGGCTATTTTCAGGTTGGGGCCAGCAGACTATAACATGAGCCTAAGAAATATTCTTACATTAGAAAGTAAAGAAATACTCAAAGAATAATGTTGATGTATTAGCTTTCTACTGCTGTCCTAACATTGCCACAAACCTATGGCTTAAACAACACAAATTTATTACATTATCGTTCTGTAGGTCACATGTCTTGAGACCTCGGCTCACCGGGCTAACCTTGAGGTGTTCGCAAGATTGTGATTTTTTTTTTCTGGAGTGTTTAAAGGAAATCCTGTTTCCTGCTCATTTGAGTTGTTGGACAATTTTAGTTCCTTGTGGTTGTAGGACTGGTAGTCCTATTTTCTTGGTGGCTGTCAGCTACAAGTCATACTTGGAACATGTAAGAATTTTACAAACTATTTAAAGATGAAATAGTACAACTTATATACAAATTCTTCTAAAACAAGATTCAGACACTTCCCAGCTAGTTAAGTGAACCCAGCACTAACACAATTCAAAAGTGGATGATGGTATTAAAATATTACAGACCAATACCCACATGAACATAGATACAACAAAACCTTAACAAAATTTTAGCAAACTGAATCCAACCAGAGAACGATAAAAATTCTCAGCAAAGTAGGATTAGATGGGGATTTCCTCAACCTGATACAGGGCATCTATGAAAAAAACCAACAGCTAACATATTTGACGGTGAAAACCTAATGCTTTTGCCCTGATAATTGCGGGAAAAAGCAAATATGTCTATGTCCATCACTTCTACTTACCATTGTACTAGAGGTCTGTGTTAGTAACATAAGGGGGATAAAAAGGTTTAAAGATTGTAAAGGTAGAACCAAAACTGTCTATTCATGTAAGACATGATTATGTTGAAAATTCCAACTTACTCACTAAAAAGCTACTAGATCTAATAATTGGGAATGATTTGAATTTAGCAAGACCCAGGATTACAAGGTTAATATACAAAAATTACTTGTTTCTACATACTAGCAAGGAATGTTTGGAAGATGAAAAAAAATCCTTTATAATAGCATCAAAATATGAAGTATTTAGACATAAATGGAATAAAAATGTTCAAAAACTGTAAGAAGTTATCCCATACCACTGAGAGATATTAAAGACCTAAATATTTTCACTGGTGAATTCCATTTAAGGAATAAGTAATTCTACAGTAACATGTTCTTTCAGAAAATAAGAGGAGGATCAGGGCCATCATAACTGATATAAAATTTAATGAGTACAAAAAATACTAATTACAGAGCTATAGTAGTAATTAATACAGGTGAAAAAAATCCTTAACAAAATATATAGCGAATTAAACCCAGATAAAAGTAAAAATATTAAAATATGCATCATTGGATTTTGTCAGAGGGAAATATGGGTGACTGAACACTAGTGAAACAATCAGCCCTTACCGTGCCCCCCACCCCCAAGTCTGTTCTCTCTGCAGCCAGAGAGAGCCTGTTAGGACCGGAGTCAGGGCATCTTCCTCCTCAGCTCTAAACTTTCTATGGCTACCACTACCCTCAGAAGGCCCAGCTCCTCATATGCCATTCCACGTCTGATTTCTGCTCACCTGCTCTCCGATCGCAACAGACACAGCGTAAGACCTGCGTCCTCCAGAGCATTCCCCTTTCAGTGCCACATCAGAGTATATGCACATGCTAGTTCTTGTTCCCGGAAGACCTTCCTTGCCACATCCTACTGGGTTCCATAAATTGGAAGCGCTCCACAATTCCTAGTATCGATTAAGGCCCATAGGCCAAGAATGACTCACCTCTGGGTACCCCAAACTCTAGGGCAGAGCGAGAGGAACGCGAAACGTCCTAGGACGACTGCATCCTCTATACCCTGGCCCTGAGGCTTTAACAGGACGAGGGTCCCTGTGGCCGGCGACTACCCACTCACCTGCATCCGGCCCAGCGAACCTGTCGCCATCGGACCCCGTGAACTGGGCGAGGACGAGGGTGGGGCCTTCAAGCTTCGTGGACTCCCTCTCTGTTCGGCCGTGGTCGGGGCGTGACCTGGGCTGACCCGCACACAAGGCCCAAGGCGCTGCCTCTGGGCACCTGGAGGAGGGAGGGCTGGTGCGGAGCCGGCAGGGCGCACAGCCAGGCGGCGTCACAACTCGGACAAAGGCGCAAAGAGAGGTCCTGTTCTCCTCCCCTTCCTTCGTCGGCCCCTAAAAGCCTCCTGGGAAGCAGCCCCGGCGCAGGACACGGCCCTCCGCCACCATAGCGACCGGACCCACCGCCCCCTCTGTGACGCCACCGGAAGTCCCGCCCCCACTCCGCGGGCCTCAGAAAAAGCCTCTCCTGGATGGTCATTGGATGAACGTCCGCCGCCAACGCACAAGCACGGCCTTCTGGGTAATGTAGTTTCTCCCCTGCATGCCGCCAGGTAAGAACGGACCGTTACACTCTCCATGTCAAAGGCCTGACGGCACCGCGAGGGACACTGGGAAATAATGCTATGCGGCTCCAAAGACGGACCACGCCAGATTTCTGCGACCACGTTGGGCGAAGCCGCAACCTGAGAGATCTCTCATTGGAGACCTCTGCCTGTGTGGCCTTAGGCAAACCTCCTAGACCTCTTAGACCCTCAGGAAAAATATGTAATTAAAAAAATAATAAAACGACTAAAAATAGGTAATAAAAAGATTATAACTTGCTTGTATTGTCTTTGTGATCTAACATTAAATGGTGCTGATTCAGTGGTTCCCAAACCAGCAGGATCAGCATCACCAGGACCTTGCTAAAATTGCGTATACAAGGGCCCTAACCCATTATCAGTCCATAGTCTGAACCTGCAGCTCCTAAAAGACTAAATCCTGAGGAAGTGTGAAAACTGAAATCACTAATACCCATGGGGATATCCCCATGGAGAAACAAAAATGAGAAGACATAATGAAGACAATTTCACCATCACTTCTGCCCATATTCCATTGCTCCAACCTCATTTACATATAAGGGAAGCTGGGTGTCCATAAAGAAAAAATTGGATAGGAGAGCATCTACCCAGTTTCCAGTGCAATCAATCAGTTTAGCCACCAGATAACTCCATTTTATTACTCCCTCTACACATTCATCACTGTTTATTACTTTTTGGGTGATGGCCTCAAACCCTATGTCTCCATCTTTTTCTCCCCCCAATGCCTACATCTTGATGTTACTATTTGTTTCTAATCTAAATTAAGACCAGAAGGCAATAAACAAAGTAACTTGCCACTCACTCCCAATATAATTATGGTTCTGAAATGCAGTGGAAGGAACTACTCAAGGATCTGCTGAAGAAAAGGATCTGACAATCTAGATTTCTATACACAGCAAAACTGTCTTTCAATAAAGAGTATGAAATAAGACTATTTTTGAGCCAAAAATGGGAAATTTAATAGGATATTAACACACGTAATATGAACTCCTAAAGTTTCTGTTTAAGGATTTGAAAACTGATCCCTGATGAAAGATCTGCAATGATAGAAACAATGAGGGTACAGGCCGGGAATACACTGGATGGATACAACTGCTCGTGATTTGTATTAAACATGAACACCATTTCCTTGTGGAGTTAGAATGATGGCATTGACATGTGAAGTCTCACCACATATACTGAGATAGGATATACTGGTTAATTTTCTAAGTCCCTTTTATAGCTTGGGAAAAAGAAAAAGTATAACTCTGTGCTCTACTGCTTTAAATAAGTGCTTGTAAATCTTAAACAATAACAAACAGAATTAAAGTATATGCTTTCCAAACTAGAACATCTATAAGTAATTAACAGAAAGTTTTTGAAAAGGTGGGGGAGAACAGGTGAGGCAAAGAAATCCAGAAATGACATATTTAAACCCAAATACACACATCAACTATTACATTAAACAAATATGACATTAATTAAATTAGCAGCCAGTACTTTCTAATGGCTCAAAATTCCCTTCACAAAGGATTTTCAAGAGGTTTTGAATTTCCATTCAAAGCACAATATACCATGACATCATCAGCCACTATCTCCACTAGTGGGGGGGGGGGACAAACCAAGGGGCAGAGAAGAATGTCCAGTTTTGGCTGATGAGGAACCAAGACCTTATGCTGAATGTCATCAGAGCCCACGAGCAAGCTTCTTAAGAACTAAAATCTACTGAGATGCCTTCAGGACCTCCGGTGTATTTGCACCAGAAAAATCCCATCAGCACATCTGCTGGTGAGGAAAGAACAGGATGGTACAAGGGGGTAACATATGAGTAACGAGAGCTAACTCTTAACCATATCCACGTACCCAACACCATGACAGGCACTTTACAATACTATCCTATAACCTGTACAACCACCTGGTGAGGTGGGTGGGTCAACAGAATTGCTTTACAAATAATGAAAACGAGGGTTCCAATGGTTATTTGATCTCCCAGTTTACAGGGGAGGAAACCAAGAACCCAAAAGGCCCGAGCTGCCCTGAGTTATGGCCAATGGTAAGGAGCACAGCTGAGAAAAGTGCACGAATTGGTGCAAGTCTCCTCACTGCTCTACGTACCTTCCTGCCTAAACTCACCCAATCTGGGCAGGACCATGGCTCCTCCTGGCTCAGAGAAAGGCGGCCATGGAAAATTCTGATGAGACATGTTTTGAGACAGTCTGGCCCTCAATTTCTGCAGTGCCCGGGCTCAGCTACAGGTAAAGTTTACACTACAGCAACAGCAAGAACTGTGCGTGTGAGGGACACCAGTTTCTCTTGGGCACGAACTCTCAGATGCCAAGGAAGATTTTTCCTCTGGCCAAATGATCTGCCATAGTAGTTACTTTACTTTTTCTTTTTTTCTTTTTTTTCATGGGGGAGGGTAATTAGGTTTATTTATTTTACTGGAGGTACCAGGGCTTGAACCCATGACCTTGTGCATGCTAAGCATGCACTCTACCACTGAGCTACACCCTCGCCCCCTCACAGTAGTTCCTTTAAAAAGGTGTGTCCCCAGTATGAGTCCTCTGATGTTGCCTGAGGCCTTCCTTCTTGTAAAAGGCCTTCCCGCATCTCTTACACTTGTAGGCCTTCACCCCACTGTGAACCTTCTGATGGGTGCTGAGGGTTGAGCTGTAGCTGTAGGTCTTTCCACACTCACGGCACTCATAGGGCTTCTCCCTGGAGTGACACCTCATATGTCGAGTTACAGAAGAGCTGTCACCAAAGGCTTTCCCACATTCTTTGCACTCAAAGGGTTTTTCTCCAGTGTGAGTTCTCTGATGCCGAATAAAATCAGACTGGTGGGCGAAGGCCTTTCCACATTCACTGCACACATAAGGCTTCTCTCCACTGTGACTCCGTTTGTGCTCCGTGAGATGCGATTTGCGGATGAAGGCTTTCCCACACTCAGTGCACCCAAAGGGCTTCTCTCCACTGTGAATCCGCTGGTGCTCCGTGAGGTGTGATTTGCGCCTGAAGGCTTTTCCACACTTGATGCACTCATAGAGTTTCTCCTGAATGTGAATGCTGTGGTGTTCGATGAGGTCTACTTTCTTGAGAAAGGTCTTCCCACACTTTTTGCATGTATAGTGTTTCACTCCAGTGTGAGTCTGCTGATGTCGAAGAAAGAAGCGATTCTTCACAAACCCTTTCCCACATTCCTTGCATGTGTAGGAATTCTTCCCTCTATGAAGCAATGGGTCTTCCCTTGATTCACATGATTCACCCTCATGGGGAACATCTCCTGTAGAGACTCGATCCTGTAAATCTTTTGAGCAGAGACTGTCACCCATTCCCAAATCATCACATTCAGGGCTCATCTTTCCAAGGAGGGTTTTCTTCTGGGGAACTGTCCCTGTCCTCAGGTGCCCTCTCAGCTCTTCTGATGGTCCTCCTGGTTTCCTGGCTTTCCCCAAAATGGAAACACCGGAGCCTTCCTGAAACAGTGACCTGTGGGGTAAGCGTCCCTCAGACGAGCCTGACTGAGAAGCAGCAGGCTCTGTGGTCTTGGTTCTTCCGCTGTCACCTGAAGGGAATTCAATACACAGAAGAGGCCTATTAGCAGTGCCAACTTGAAAGAAACAAAATCACTAAGCCAACAGGAAAAAGACGACGGAAACACTGTCACTGATACCTGCTGGGTTTTCACGTCTCTGAAACTCGAGGTTTTGGTTTTGTTTTGCTTTTTGCTGGTCTTTGGATTCATAACACCTTTGAAGGGACCACCCTGAGGAGACTTTGGGGCAGGGGCCAGAGGATGGCAGAGTGGAGTCCCTTCCTCACTGCCCAAGGAGAAAGCAATGAGGACACTGTGTGTGCTGCATTTGTTCTAAGAAAGGATGCCACAAGGTGCTACAAGAACGTGCTACAAGAACACCGGGAAGGGAGCATCTAACCCAGCCCAGATGGGAGAGAGAAAGATGTCAGGCAGGCTTCCCAAGAGGAGTGTCTGGAGGTCTGAGCCCTAAAGGACCAGGAGCAGTCACCAGATACAGAAAGCGAGAGGGCCTCAGCCAAAGGAGACAGAGTACAGAGGTGCGGAGAGAATCCCGGGTGTCCAGGGAACTGCAGGCATGAGAGGATGGCGGAGGTGTGAACAGAGACAGACAGGGTGCTGATTTCCGGTCCCATGTATATCCGCTCAAGATCAGTGAAATCGTGGTGGGGGAGGGTACAGCTCAGTGGTAGAGTGTGTACTTAGCATGCACAAAGTCCTGGGTTCAATCCCCAGTGCCTCCATTTTGAAAATAATAAATAAATAAACCTAATTACCTCCCTCCAAAACAAAACAAACAAACCAAAGAACAGTGAAAACTCACTGATGGTGTCCAAGTATTGAGAGCCACGTTTGTAGGAGGCAGTACTAACTAGGAGGGCTCATGAGGAGTCTCCTAAAGTTTCTATCGTGACCTGAATATGGTGGTTACTTGGATTTACTCATCTGTGAAAATTCATCAAGCTAAGCCACTAAGAGCCATGAACATCGGTATGTGTAAATTACACTTCAGTTTAAAAAATTAGGAAAAAAGAAAAGAGTCAAGGAAGTGAGTGGAAGTCCAGTGCAGACCTTTCTCCTAAGAATAAAAGATCTCCTCTAAGAAGTGGGTTGTACATACAGTCACACCAGCTAGAGGCCACTCTAGAGCTCAGGAAGGACCTGAGAGAAGAAAAGTGCTCCCCAGAAGGCAGATGTTCCTGGTGCAGGGACTGGTCACGGCTTCAGAGGGAGGAGAGAACAGAAGCTGCAGGCAGCCATCAGATACAGATGGGTCTGAAAGGACTGACAGAAAGGGAAGTAACAGTAATGTGAATCTGCTCAGAGGCTGAGGCCCCAGCAGCTGCGGAGTGGTGGGAGGTCTGAAATATGGCCAATGGCTGAGATCGCGGGGGCAGGACGCAGAGCTGGGCAGAGCAGATGTGTGGAGACAACAGGCTGTGCGGCAGCATGCAGACGAGAGATGACGACAGAGCTGGACTGGGGCGGGATGGAGACGTTCAGGAAGGGGACGGACTCAGGAGATGGATGTGGGGTATGAAACGGACAGGACTTGGGGGTGGCTGGGGGAGGGGGGTCTGATGGATGGTTCCAGGTTGTTTCTGACCTCAACCTCTTGGATGGCAGGACCATTCATGGAAACTGGTGTCCCTTGGGGGCAGGGGGTTAATAGTTCGGTGGTGGAGCGCGTACTTAGCATGCATGGGGTCCTGGGTTCAATCCCCACTACCTCCAGTAAGAAAAAAACTGGTGTCGCCAGGGATATCCCAACACGAAGCTTCCACGGAGCTTCAGAAGCAGAAGTCCCTCCTGCCTGCAGGCTGCAGGGAGCCCCACTGCCTGGCCCTTGGCAACCCACCTGAGGAAGTGCTTTGGGAAAGGCGTCTCTTCACTGTCCTCAGCTTTTTCCCAGGATCCAGCAGGTAGGGCAGTTCTGGTTTAGGAACAGGACACCCTGTTTGCAGAGGTACAGGACAAAGGTGTTTTGTAAAGACCAAGACCACCCTCTCTATAAAGCGTGGTATTCAGGGCAGGAAACATTTCAGAATAATGGTGGTCCTATGCGAGCAAAAATAAATCCTGACTTTGGTCTTGGAAACCAAGGCACAGACACCCACCTTGGGCAGTGTGTACACAATACCCTTCATCCTACAGAATCCAATGCTGCACAGCTGTACACCCCGCTCACATGCAGCCTCAGGGCCCCGGCAAAGTCACCCTCTCCTTCCAAGCTGTTCCCTCATGGATCTAAGTCAGGGTGTCTCTCACCAGGTGCTGCCTGATTCGCACCATGGGCCAGTTCAAACCAGATCTCTGAGGTTAGGCCTGGGCGTTAGCAGCTGCCAAGGCGCCCTGGTAACTGGCACTGGGCAGCAAGGAAAGACCCGGTGTCCGCTGCTTGCAAATGGCGCCCCCACCAGCAGCGGTCTCAGGCGGACCGCTGACTTCAGACAGTCACTCACGCAGAAGGGAGGGCGATGAGGTGAACGGGGGCTCTGCTGCCCCAGTTACCGCCGCAGCGTCTTGTGGCTGTGAGGCACCCAGGTGAGCCGCAGGCCAACCCCTGCACTGGGAGAGGGAGCAGGAACCAGAGAACAGGGTTGACTTCAACCCGTCGACACAGTCCAGAGGCAGCTGAGCTGGGATGTGACACCAGGCTGCCTGGTTCTGAAGCCCGGATCGCTGAGCACTCCATGGGGGAGAAGATGGCTCATGGGCCCTGTGTGGGGCCAGCAGCCGGGAGAAACTGGGGATGTTGAGTGTGAGGATTTAACAGTCCGGGACCAGGGGACAGTGCCAGGGGCCTTCTTGGTGATTCCCCAAAGTGTGCATTGAAGGAACCACAGAAGAGGCAGACACAGGGAGGAAGCCTACACGGTGACTCGGGTGAATGTGGCCATTCACACAGACATCCACTATCATCTCTCAGCATCATTCACAAAGGAAAGGGCTTTTACCACCAAGGGAGGCAGAGGCTGGCATCTTCAATAGTTGAGCTCAAATGTTAGCATTTTAGCTTCCTGAGACACACTGCCAAGGCTGTGTTCTCCTTATACAGTGGGGCAGAGGAGCCTGAGGGCACTGATCCAGTGGAAGTCACAACAGTAGGAATACGAGTAAAACAGGCCTATGTGCACTTTAATGCCATAATAACATTAGGAAAATAATAGTATCACTGAATAAGGTGAGTATTTAAATATTCACAAAAAATTTTTTTGCTCCAAAATCTGATTGCTTCCTTTGGGTAGGAGGTCCCCAAAGGAGAGAGAACTGGCTTCGGGGTCAGGCAGCTTTGGGAAAACAAAGCACCTCCCAGGATTCGGTGAGCAGATCAGGGCAAGTGCCAGGAACAGGCCTGACGCGGTCCCAGTGCTCAGAGGACGCTAGCTGTGACGAACTGGTACTAAAGGCTTCTCTTTAAACCAAAACACTTATTTGCTTTTTCTTTAATCAATTTCTTCACTAAGGGAGTCTCTTACCACTCCAGAAAATGGGAGAACACTTCCCTTGTCACAAATGATGGGTTACCGTCGAAACACCACAATGAAGTCAAAATAAGGCTATGGGGTCCCAGCGACCTCCTCAGCCTCCTCAGGGATGTGAGAGGTGGAGGTCGCTCCCTCTGCTGAAAAGGAAAATAGACAACGGTCCTGGGAGGCATGACGGACTCAGCAGGAACTGAGACCGCTTCCACACGACTACGCACACAGCACGCGAACAACAGGGGCCAACTGTGGAGCACAGAGGACTGACTGTACTCAGTATCCTGTAATAACCTAAAATGGAAAAGAACCTGAAAAACAATATATATAGCGTACATATATGTATGCATATATATATACACACACACACACATATATTTATAACTGAATGACTTTGCTGTACACCCAAAACTAACACAACATGGTAAACCAACTATACATCAATTGAAAAAAAAAGAATCAGGAGGGAAATGACTTCCGTGGGGTGTTCATCAGATCGTGGGGTGACACATCCGGGTGTCCTCTAAACTCCTCTGTCGCCCCAACAGAGAGTGCGGGGAGACCTCCCGAAAGAAGGGATGGCCGTATACACCCCAAGGGCCAAGGAAGACTTTCAACTGAGACTGTGTTACTTACAAAGATGATGGCAAAGCCCTCCGAGGGCCTGCCTGACTCTCCCCCATCTTGGAGGAGCAGCCCACCACCCATACCCTCCTAACGGGGCTGTGGGGCCACCGGACCCAGCCAGGCTGGGGCGGTCAGGTCCCCTGCACGGGAATCTTCCCCAAGCGCCCTGGGCTGAGCCTGTGCTGAGTGCTGGGGTGAGAGGTTGAAGGAGGTGTGGGCGCAAGTGACCCCTTCTGGTCACAGAAATGACTGTGCAGAAAAGGCAGGACACAGGCACGCAGCGGGAAGCAGGCAGAAGAAACCTGAGGGTGTCCGAGAGCCAGGACCGAGGTGCCCACCCCTGCACAAAGCTGCAGTGAGAGAAAGCAAGACGAGGAGCCCCCTGGAGAGGGGCCCGGGGGAGACCCGGAGCCGGGGACCACCGCGCCTCCTCCCAGCCCTGAAGGCAGCTCCTCATCACAGCCTGCCCCTGGGTCGTGTGGGGGCACCCCCATTTCCCTCCACGGTGAGGACTATGCTTCTTCCTCAGGGACCCAAATGGAGACCAAGGGAGCACAGGCAGGAGGCGGTTGGCCCAGAACATGGCAGGACTGCGGGGGGGAGGGCGGGGCTCAGAGACCCTGTCCACCCCCCAGGCCCGGAGAGAGGGGCTGGAACCCAGAAGGAGGCTGCTGGTCCCCGCACGGACGACAGGAGAAGCCTTACCCAGGGACACCAGGAGCCTGCACGTGTCCAGAGTCACCTTTCGGTACAGGGCCCTCTGAGCCAGGTTCAGGAATTCCCACTCCTCCTGGGTGAAGGTCACAATGACGTCCTTGAAGGTCACCGGCGCCTGCAATGTTAAAACAGCAGCATTGTGTCATCCTCTGGGGCTGTGGATGGCATCACAGCCTGTCATTCAGTTGCCGGTGAAGGTGTAGAGGGACCCAGGCCCGAGTCACTGGGGCCTCCTGAGGGCCGAGCTCTGTGCTGGGCTGAGAAACGAGGCTGAGAGAAAAGCCTTCGGTGGGGGAAGCAGATAGTGGCGTTCCTGTGAGGACCCTGAGGACTCTGGGCTGTCAGAGGAACAGGGGAATAAGAGTGATGCTGATTCTGACAGTGACAACAGCAGCTGAGCCTCCGGGTCCTCACTGTGGTCCTGCCCTAGGCTGAGGGCTTCACAAGCTGTGTTAAAGGGGATACATGGTCCCAGCTCTGGAGCAGCCTCCTGGGTGTGAATTCAGACTCTTGAATGGACATTAGCCTGCTGTGTGACCTAGGGGAAGCCACTTAACTTCTCTGAGCCTCAATATCCCCCATCTGTATAATAATGAGTCTCACGTCATCGGGTTGTTGTGAGAACTGACAAAAAAAGGGCCATAAAGTGAACACGCGAGGCCCTGCTCATCAGAGGCTGTGTACCTTGTTACTTTCATTCACCCTCCTGCAGCCACGGAGGGGAACGCCACCCTCAGCCCCATGTCACCATCAAAGCTAAGGCTCAGGGGGCTCTAGCGAGTCGCCCGGGGAGACCCCAGGCTACACAGCAGGGGTGAGATCTGAACCCAGTGCCCCTGGTCCAGGGAGCATGTAGCCCCCACATCCCTCCATGATCACAGCGGCCCACAGTGACCAGGACACAAAGCGCCTCTAGTAACAGTTGCTGTCAAACGCACTTCGGCCACCCCTCAACATACACCCAAGGACACAGGCAGAGGATCAGGCTGTCCTCACCCACCTCAGGGGAGAGGCACTGAGGGGGGCGTCACCCGTCCCGGGAGTGGCAGGCCCTGGACCAGTCCTCATACCTGCTCCGGCCCCCTGGCCCTAGCAGACTCCCCGAGGAGATTTCGCAGTGAACCAGCAGTCAGTTTTCCCTTCTGAGTCCTGACGGCTCATGTCCCTGAGGCATGGATACCTCAAGGACCAACTGGGTAAAGATGATGTAGCTGTGACCCTGAGAATGAGGGCAGCAGACTCTGAGTGGTCATGTCGTGTGTCCTGGGTTGGGGGGGGGTGAACTCCAGGAAATGAACACGCTCTCCCCAAGCCACATCTCAGCACGTAGGGGAGCCCTTGGCAACCACAGGGCCTGCTCAGGCCTCCCTGACCAACTCCGTCCTCACTGCCTCTGTCCACAAGGTCCCCTCCGCCTGGGCCGGCTTCTACCAAGCTCGCCTGCAGGAGGGAGCCCTGCCGGCCTCACAAAGGTTCACATATGTGTCACCCTCGGGCCTTCCCAGCCCACTGTGCTGGGAACACAGGCTCTGGTGGCCGATGGACGAGCTGTGAGTTTCGACTCCTCAAGAGCTGTGTGACCTTGGGCAGGTAACAACATCTCTGAGCCTCAAGTCTGCCTTCTGCAAAGCCTTCTGTAAAAGAACAGAGCCTAACCGAGGGGTGAGGCCTGAAGGACTGAAACAGAACAACTGTCCCTCAGGGCGGATCAAGGGCCCAACGAAAGCCCACGATCATCATTGTTTTCTTGATGATTCCTCTTTGCTCCTCAAACGCCCTGGAAAATCTCAACCCAACACTCAGCTCAGCAAGAAAATGCCAGACCCCAAACATGTGGGGGCAGGGAGTCCTTTAGCTAGAACCAGAAAGTCCAGGAACTATCTCTACAAAGAGATGGCATTTGGGCAGAGCATTTGGGCTGAAGAACGCACACAGGTGGCCTGCAGGCTTCCGGAGACGGTGCCCCAGGCAGAGGGAACGAACTGCGCAGAGAAAGGCTAGGAAGTGGGTAAGAGCTAGGAAACAGAGGATGGCGGAGCTGGAGGGCAGTGAGCCAGGGAAGGGTGGAGCCGGAGAGGACACACAGGCACACAGGCAGTCAGGGGGACAGCCGCAGCAGGCCACCGTGGGGGTCTGAACCGATTCCACGCATGAGGCGAGTCCACCAGCTCTCCAACCTACTACTGAGCCTGTTACAGGGCTGGTCCGGTGGTAGGCCTAGGGCTAGAGTGCCGACAAGGACTAACAGATCCACAACAGGCAACTGAGTAACGAGCAAAAGACAATGTCAGATGGCCCCATGGGTTCTGATGTCATAAAATGGAGTGGGGAAGGGGAGGGTACAGCTCAGTGGCAGAGCGTGTGCTTAGCATGCATGAGGTCCCAGGTTCGATCCCCAGTACAGCCACTTAAAAAATAAATAGATAAATAAATAAAAATGAAATAAATAAACTTAATTACCTCCCCTCCCCCTCCCAAAAAAATAATTTTAAAAGAAAATAGAGTGTGGAGATTAGACAGGTTGGGGGCAACTTTATAAACGGAAATCTGGGAAGGCCTCTCTGAGGAGGGTCCACTGGAGAAGGAGTGGAATGAACGAAGGGGGCCATATGAACAAAAAGTGAACACACGAGACAACTGCAGAAGGTGACTGAGGCTGTAACAAGAGTAAACAGGGTCTGTTGTGTGTTGACATAGAAACACACAGAATGTTCCTGCAAGGGGCCATCGCCAAATCTGTAATGCATTCACTCAGTTTTCACATCAAAGTGTCTTTTGAAAAAAATTATTTATTTATTAATTTGTTATTTATTTTATTTTGGTGTGGGTGAGTAGGTTTATTTATTTTTAGAGGAGGTACTGGGAATTGAAATCAGGACCTCATGCACATGAAACATGGGCTCTACCACTGAGCTATATACCCCCTAACAGTGTCTTAAAGAGAAAAATGACTTCACTGCTGTGAGGGGCAGGACATCTTTGTATTTTGCATATTGTGAATACATGGCAACTGCAAACATGAATCCAGTGGCTTTCCTGGCCCCTAGCCTGCCCACGGGCCCTTCGAGAAGAGGAGCAGTCATTCCAAAAACACTGCACCCACAGTGCATCTGTCCCCTTTTCCCCGTAGCCTCAACTAGGTACAGGCCCGAGACCCAGGAAACCCCAGGGCTGGAGTTCCACGGGTGAGCCCCTAAGATCACCACAGGACAAGGACCTCTGTTCCCAGAAAAGCATCTAGAGTGACAATACCTGGCCAGTGCTGGATACTGGGGAATACATACCACACATGTGCCTTCTCTGATCACCTCAAGCCAAGGGGAGGAAATGTTAATATTGTCATTAACCCCAAAGAAATAGAAGACAAGGGCACCCATGAGACTTGCTCAGGGTAACAGCCCTGGGAAGGGCACGGTTACAATGCACGCTAAAGTTTCCATAGTGTTACGTGGCTCTTTCCTAAGGCTCAGTCCATTCAGACGGCACAGACACAGAGGGGATTCGGAGATGTCCCATTTCTCTCCTGCTTGTACTGCTAAAAGGACAAGATCAGGGAAAAGGGCTCCTTGAACCCTAGAAATCAGATTAACGAAAAGCCACAACCAGCATTTCTGGAGCATTCCGGTGCTGCATTCAGTGGTTTTCATGCCCAGTCACCCGGGAGAGAAGATGCTGTTATTAACCCCATTTCACAGCTGAGGAAACTGAGGGGCTCTGGACTTAGCGGACTTTCCTGCTACTGGGCATTGGCAAAGCCTGGAGCTGAACCCAGACCGTGGGCTCCGAAACTCGTTTTGCACACCTGAGATACGCACTTTGGCGGGGAGGGTGGCTGAAGATACTCATGTGGAACTGAGGGTTTCACGTATGTTGGGGGGTTGCAGGGAGCCCCCTCCCTGATGCTGACTTCTCTCACCTTAAGTCTGCTCTCAACCGTACGGCAAGAGGAAGCCTCTTAAAACACGAATCAGATCCCTTCCCTCCTCTCCTCCAAATCCTCCACGGTTCCCAGCAAAGTAAAAGAAGTCCCCGTTCCTCAGCCTGCTGTTCCAGACCTGACTTCTCGGCGCATTCTATTCCCAACAGACAAAACGGAGACCCGCAATTCCACACGGCTCAGCCTCACCTCCCGGCATTTACACCTAGTGGTTCATGTGTCTGGGACACGGCTCCACAGCTCATCGCTCTACTGCGCTGAGAACCTTCCAGACCAACCCTGGCCTGAATTCAGGACGCCTGGCTGGGGCTGACTGGCCAGCCTCCACGGCCACCAGACTGAAAGGCAGCGTCAGGGAAAGTGAAGACGCCCAAGACAACACTATCCTCTACATGCGGGCGCCAGGACGACGGGGCTGGGGGTCCAGGGGGCCCGAGGGGGCCTCCACTCACCAGAGCCGGGTCCGCTCGCGCCTCCGCCGCCATCATGGAACGCTCTGCAGGAACCCGGGCCGAGCGAGATGGACGACCAGGGAGGGTCCCCAGCGCTCAGCCGACTCCCTCCGCTGCCCCGCCTACACTCAGCCGCGCCTCTGCGCAGGGTGGGCAGGAGGCCTCTTCCCGAGGGTCCGTGCTCCCGGG